AAAAAATATTCTTGGTAAGGATTAAAAAAAAATTGTTATCAGTCAGGTAATCCTAAATCTTACAAAAAGCCTGACAACATAATCCAACAGAATACCCATTACTAATATCCATAATAAAAATTCGAAAGAAAAAGCCTGTAACTCAAAGAGGGGGCAATTAACAACTTTGTGATCTTATACTAATTTATATGAAAACTCAGGATTTTATCAGCTCCAAAATAATGGTAAGATCAACTAAAATGAAATAATAAATATATAAAATTTAAGATATAATCCCGCAGAGCCAGCGTGGCTCAGTGGTTGAGCATTGACCTATGAACCAGGAAATCAAGGTTCGATTCCTGGTCAGGGCAAATGCCCAGGTTGCAGGCTTGATCCCCTGTATGGGGCATGCAAGAGGCAGCTGACCAATGATTCTCTATCATCACTGATGTTTCTATTTCTCCCTCTCCCTTCTCCCTTACTGTCTGAAATCAATAAAAATGTATTTTTAAAAAAAGATATAACCAGCCCTAACCGGTCTGGCTGGTGGCTACAGCACTGGCCTGTGGACCAAAGGGTCCAGAGTTCAATTCTGGTCAAGGGCACCTTGGTTGCAAGGCTCTTCCCTGGCCCTGGCCCAGGCCCTGGTCAGGGCACGTGCAGGAGGCAACCAATTGATGTGTTTCTCTCACATCGATGTTTCTCTCTCTTCCACTCTCTCTAAAAGATCAAAGGAAAAATATCCTCGGGTACGAATTAACAAAAGAAAAAAAAAAAGGATATAACCCTCAATTTATTTATAAAATATTCTTATTCCATTTTTAAAATTGCATTTATAAACTCTGCAAGACATTTGCTTAGATAACACTTACCCTATAATAAAACCGGGGAATGGTCTTGTAGAATTCATTTGTGTTTTTCCTACCTCCTTTCCATTTGGAGTAGTATTTGGTAAATAAATCCATTTCTTCATCTTTTAATTCCTGTTCACTTTTTTTTTCTGTTAATTAAATAGATTCAGGGGGAAAGCACTTTTAAAATCAAACAATACTTTTCTCAGGTCATCTAGTATAGCCTAATTACAGTGCAAAAAAGGTCTTCATGGTTGTGCTTAGACACTAAACATTTATATTAACTTTCTTGAAATACCAAGACTCACTATCTTCCACTGAAACAGCCTCTCCTACATCTTCACTCTCAGCTGCTCCCTCTCTTTTTTTTTAATCACTATACTTGTTTCCTCCTCAAGCCACTGCCTCTCTTATAGACCTATGGCATGTTCCTAATTCATTCAATTAAAAATATTTATTGAGCACCTACTACATATTGAACCCTGTAGTAGTCACTGATGCTAGGGCACTGAGAAAACAGGCACAGCCCTTGACCTCATGAAGTTTCAGCCTTGTAACCACTCTTCCTCCGAAAACCCTTTCCTCTGAAGCTCACACATCCAGATGCTATTACTCTCCAACCTTTCCACCTGCCTGCTGCTGGCAGGGAGCTGTCATTTAGCCATTCCTCCACAATTTTTGTGGATCGTGACAACTGGTGCACAGGGCTCTTCACCTCAATGTCCTGCAATCATCAAGGAAGAGCAGACATGTGGGTGACTCAACCTTGAAGGCTTTTGCTTTTACCTCTACTGTGTCACTCAGTTCCATGGCAAGACCACAGATCTTATCTGCTCTTCTTCTAAAATTTTAAACTCTAATATACTCTCAGATAATTTCTCTCTCCTGGTTATTCAAAACCTTACTACCATAATACCTGCACTTTAGCCTCATTGAGGTCTCTAATTCTTTTATCTATTTTCTCAAAAGTTTATTTTCCTCTTCCTGGTCTCATTTCCTTCACTTAAACTTTTACCTCTTATGCCTGCATTTCTGACACATCTGCCATGTTAATTTTTACCCTTGGACCAATCTTAACATCTTGTTTACCATGGCTTAATACCTTTGGAGAAAACTGTACAATTGTGGTCCCACAAATTTATTTCATGGTTACTAATTAGTAAGTCAGCTTTTCAAAACACCAGGACATATTTTATTTGCCCTTGATGTTCTCTTGCTGATTCCTCTTGTTGACCGACTGCTTCAAACTGTCATTACATTCCTCAAACCCCCTCTGTATTCACCATCAACAGATGACAATCTCTCCCAGTTCATCACAACAGTCTACTGCACATGGATACCCATAAACATCTAAATGAAGTGGGAGGGCAGGAAGGTATCAAATCTGTACCTTACTTCTTCCTGCCAGTTTTAAAGGAAGAGGTATCTCCTCTCATCCAAGGCAAACCTCTCATTTTACCCGAGTGCTTAATCTCAGCCTTTCTAATTCTCTGGTTGTCCCATCACTTCTTTCCTTCTCCCTCCCTCACCCATTCAGTTACCTTCAATTCCTTCATCTTTACTGGCTTTTCTTTAATTTACAAACACACAGAGGTCTCTTCCATCTCCCCACCCCCCAAAAGTCCTTCCTTTCTACCTACTACCACACATAACTCCTTCCTTTCTCATACACTTTTTCAAAAAGAAAGCCTACATTGGCCATCTCTGCTTTCGTATCTCCCATCCCTTCTTTATGCAATCCTGCTTCTACTCATACCACTCTACAGAAACTGTAGAGTTTCTTGCCAGGGCAACGAATGACCAAATTGCTTATTTTTTAAATTAAATTTATTGGGTTGACATTGTCCAATAAGATCATAGAGGTTTCAAGTGTTCATTTCTATGATACATAATCTGTATAATTATGTGCCCTGCACCCAAAGTCAAATCATCTTCCACCCCCATGTATTTGGCCCCTTTACCCTTTCTAAAAAAAATTTTTATTTATTTATTTATTTATTTTTAATTGCTTAAAGTATTACAAAGAGTATTACATATGTCTCCTTCCCCCCCCCCCCCCCCCCCCCCCCCGCCCTTGACAATCCCCTGGCCTCCCCTACCCCCCAGGGCCCCTTTACCCTTCACTACCCCTCCACTCTGTTGCTTCGTTTAGTGGATACACCTGTCCTTGGTTTCTCTGTTAAATTTGATACTATTGAGTCTAACCTTTTCTTAGCTTTTATGAGACCATGCTGTTGATTCTCTTATTTTTTGGACATTTCTTCTTCTTTTTTTTTAAATTTCTTCTTCCTCTATCATTTCAACTTTCATAGTGTAACTTCTAAGTCCCAAACCTATGTCACTCAGTGTTAAGTTGTTGGGGAGAAGAGTAAGAAATAGCAGACTGAGAAGGGATGACTGGTGAGGCAGGAGGAAAACTAAGAGTGTATGTCTCCTAAAAACCAAAAAAAGAAAGTATGTGTAGGATGAAGATATAAGGGGAACAGAGAAATAAGGCATAGCTGGAAGTGGAAGTTAAGAGTCTCTTTAAGGTGAGAGGAATACCACCATTTAAGATGCTGCTGTGAATGACAGAAAGAAAAACCAAGAATGCCGGAGTGAGAGGACATATCCTTGAGTGGGCTAAAACGGGACCTACCACACCCGGGAAGCAAACAGTCTCAAACCGAAGTTGTACAGCCCGTATGATTTGCTTATTTCATCATCTCTTCCGATGCAAAAGTGTAAGTTCTACAAGAACCAGGGTTTTTGTGTGTTGTATTTACTGCTGTAGCTGGAACAGTAATTAGCACGGAACAGACATGCAATGGAGTGGGTTTTAAGAACGAAGGGGAGGAGAAAGCACAAGTACAGGTAATTTTTCAGTAAGTTTTCCTATAAAGCGTGTAGAGAAATGTGGCTAAAGCTGGAGGGGGCTATGAGACCAAATTACTTTTTTTAAGGTGAGGGATGTGACAGCATGTTTGTTGGAACTGATGGAAATGCTCCAGCAGAGAAGGAACATTTGATGACGAATAAGAGAGAGAATAAAAGAAAGGGGACACGACCTAGTGCTGGAGTGGAGGGACCCTCTCAAACAGGGGCCTGACAGTTCCCCATTTTTAAGCAAAGTGGGGGCGGTGACGGACACGGTGGGAACAGGCGAGGAGCCTTGATTGCTTCTACTCAAACACACAGACAAGCTCAGCGGCTGAGGGTAAGGAGCAGGCGGCACAGTGGAAGGCTGGAGGGTTGGGAAGTGAGGACTGCAGGAGAGTGAACGTCTAGAGCAGTGGTTCTCAACCTTCCTGATGCCGAAACCCTTTAACACAGTTCCTCATGTTGTGGTGACCCCCAACCATAAAATTATTTTCGTTGCTACCTCATAACTGTAATTTTGCTACTGTTATGAATCGTAATGTAAATATCTGATATGCAGGATGTATTTTCATTGTTACAAATTGAACATAATTAAAGCATAGTGATTAATTACAAAAACAGTATGTAATTATATATGTGTTTTCCGATGGTCTTAGGCGACCCCTGTGAAAGGGTCGTTCCACCCCCAGGTTGAGAACCGCTGCGTTAGTGGCCAAGAATCAAAAGTGAGAGACAATGTGCCCGGTTCCGTTTTTCTCCGGCACTTTCGGCTGCCCTGGGTGCAGGTGTGAAACAGGAAAGAGTTTAAACAGGTTGGTGAACAAGCAAGAGTGAAGGGTGGGGAAAGGGACAAAGAAAAATGGAGTATGACATTTAAATGGACAAGGAGGGAAGGGAAAGTGATAGTAAAACGGCGGTAGGACCCCGGAGTTGTTGGACCAGGGTTCTCATTCCTCCTCCATCTGGGAGCTCCCCCGCCCGCACATCCTTCCTCGGGGAAGTGTGGGTGAACCTCCTAGATCTCTGAACCCCATTCCACTCCACCCGCTTTCTCGGGGAGTGTTCACAGCGGCGGAAAGCGCGGCCCCCCGCCGCCGCCCCTCCCATTCTGCCCCCACCTCTAGGGGTTGAGGGCCGGGCTGTCTCCGCGGGCGGCCCTTCCCGGACTCACTGTTGGGACCGTTGTTGGGCGTCGCTAACCGCCGGCGAAGCACTTCTTTCCAGTCCATGACTGACTCCCGCGAAGCAGCTCCGGCATCTGCTAATCGCTACCCCCGCCACCAGCTCAGACATCAACCCGCCGCCAGGCTCTGAGAGGCTGCGGAGGCCGCCCAGCCGCCATCTTGGACTCGGGCGGAAGTCGGCTGAGGAGGCGAAACGGGGAATGTGGTCACTGCGGAGAACGCGGCGGTCACACCAACAGCGGGGAAAGCTGGCGGGAGAAAAGGTGGAAAATTACGTCCTTAAGGCAGCTTCCCAATCGCACAGCGCCAGATTGTAAAGGTGCAGGGTAGGGGAGCCCGTACTTTTAGTTCATCTTGGGCCTTGGCGCGTATGCACCACGTGACTCAGGAGTCCTTTGGCGTTTCCGGGAAGCGTTTTCTCCACAATTTCTTCTTATTGTTCCTTGAGGATATATGGAGGCCCTAAGGTTCCCCTAAATGTAGTAAACGCCTTGATCAGCCCCCGTAGGCTCCCTCTGCCACTAAAATCACTAAAAGCTTCAAAGCCACCTTTCTCTCCCCGCCAGGCCTGGCCCAGCTCAGCCACGCCCCCGCGGCGGTGCCGTCGCGGTGCATTGTGGACCCGGTAGTTTCCGCCGCGGTTATGGTCGCGTTCACAAAGCGTGCGCGCTGCGGTGAGTTGTTGAATGAAGTGAACTGGGTTTGTGATGGATCTGTGCGCTGTAGGCGGAGCCCTTGGTGGACCCCCTCCCTTACCTGAGCTGTTGGCCCGCTCTCCCCCGCCTCCCCCAGCCCATTCCCTGGCCTGCGGGTTTGGGGGTATGGGGACAGTTATGCGGAGCCCGGGCCCCTAGCCTGCTCTCGCCGCTGCCCTTGCTGCTGGTGGGGCTGGGCCTCTGGGCTCGACTTTACGCCTCCCCTTCAGCTAGGCAGCCATGGGATCCGATCCCGTTTCAAGGACGGTTGTGATTCCCGTGAGTGAAACTGGGCGGCCCTCCTTGTGCTCTTTCCTCAGGTTCGCGGACTGCACTGTAACCGGCACCAGACACTGCTGCCCCGGTTCTGCGGACTGCGACGGAGATCGGATGCCCCCGGATCAACATTTTTTTTTTTTTTTAAGGGAGAAAACTCATAAGACTTCATTGCTATTAAGTAGCCTCAAAAGCAGAGCCTTGGTTTTTCTGAGAAATTGAAAATCATCTTTTAAAAAGTTGCGCTTCAACTCGCCCCCTTACCCCCCCACCCCCTAATTCCTTAATTATGCGGTAGAAGTAGGGGCTTTTCTTCACCATCTGCTGATCTCACTGCATCATGACTTTCTGTTTCACTGGCATTAGAAGCTTTCCGAGGCTTTGGAAAAACAACCCATTCCTCGGAGTAGTAGGCCCAGGACACACTTACAACTTTTTCTTTCTGAAAGACTGTTATGGCATCAGGAACCAGCAGAAGTTGTTTTCTCTTAAAACGGTGTCTCCACAAAATACCAAAGCAATAAACCTGATTGCCAAGGCCAGGTATCGCAGAAAAGATGAGGGCAGTAATAAAGTTTCTTCTGAGTTTCCTCACCTTTTTGCAGCTGGAGCGGCTAAGAAGAGATCTCAAATGAATCCTCGGAGTCACGATCATGCCTCGCCACCGGAGAGAAACAGTATTCAGCTCCCAACACTACCTTTGAATTCAGAGCAGTGGGATAAACTTAAAGAAGATTTCAAAGGGAGAGCTAATTTTGAAGATTGGATCATTGCACGGATGATTACCTACAATAGCTCTATAGATGTGGCCAAATCTTTGCTGGCCTGGGTAGCTGCAAAAAACAATGGTATTGTAAGCTATAATTTGCTGGTCAAGTATCTGTGTCTCTGTGTCTTTCATAAGCAGACATCAGAAGTTTTTGATGTCTACGAAATCTTGAAAGCCAGATACAAGAGTTTAGAATCTTCGGCAAGCACTCTTCTCATCCGAGGGTTGATCCACTCAGACAGATGGAGAGAGGCCTTGCTGCTGTTAGAGGACATCAAAAAAGTCATGACCCCTTCAAAAAAGAATTATGGTGACTGTATCCAGGGAGCCCTCCTTCATCAAGATGTAAACACAGCTTGGAATTTGTTTCAGGAATTGTTAGATCATGATCTTATTCCCTTGATGGAAACTTTAAAGGCCTTCTTTGATTTTGGAAAAGACATAAAAGATGATCAATATTCAAAGAAACTGCTAGACATTCTTTTGTATCTAAGAAATAATCAGCTATATCCTGGGGAATCATTTGCACACAGTATAAAAACATGGTTTGAGAGGTAATTTTGATTTTTCTTTTTCTGTATGTTTTTATTTTAATACCTATATAGCCACCTTTTTTATTGGTTGCTGAGATTATTCAGATTATAGTACCTTTTCCATCTCTTATTAAGATTTGTTTCCCTTTAAGACAAAATCTTCTTTCTCTAAAAAAAGCAGCATAAACAAATTGTGTTCATCTCTACTCATCACATAAAAGGGAAATTATAGAGAATTTGTACTTTTATGTATTTTTCTGTTTAGAAGGATCTGGCAAGATGTAAGTACTTATGAATAGCACTTGTGGCTGGAGTTTATAGCAAGAAAACGAGCTGTCTGGGTCGTATTAGTATTTTCAGAAGTTCTGAAACCTAGTGACTGGTATGATGTGTTCTGTTTAATCTATGCCTTTTCATCAACTTGGATGGTTAGAGTGGAGGGGGAGATCCTGATCAAACCTGATATGTAAGCATTGGCATGAAAAATCTTCATCTGTGCAGTTCATTTTAGATCTTTCTATCATTAAACTGCGCTCTCCAAAGCTCTTCAATGTCTTTCTTTTGCTTTTCTTTTTAAGTTACTGACTCCGTGCCTATTTATTGCTTCAGTCTTTAACTTTCTCATTTCTTCACCATTAATTTGCTTCAGGCTATTTCCTCAAATTTTATTCCTTTTCTCTCATTTTTTGTCCCCCCCCCCTCTTTTTCTACTGTATATCATCAGTATATATATAGAGAGAGAAACATCCATATGAGAGAGACAAATCAATTGGGCTCCAGATCGAGCCTGCAACCAAGGTCCCATAATCAAACCGTCAACCCTTCAGTCCAAGGGCTGACACTCTACCCACTGAGCCAAACTTACTAGGGCTGAATTATCTTATTTAATAAACTTATTGAATATCAACAGGGGCACTAGATTGTGAAAAATCTTTGCAAGGATTTTAGATTTTAATTCTGTTATCAAGAGTGTTGGTCTAGGAGTGGAGTTTTAGAACGGTAACTGCCAAAACAGTGAGAAAAGAAGTTTGGAGAGGGATTAAAATTGAAAACAAATATGTTTGGAGGCAATTAAGGTTTGAATGAGAGATTATGAGATTCTGAATTAAGAACTGAAGAAGAGAAAGCAATGGAATTAATAGAATCATGATGATACATGTAAGAGGAAAGAAGAAATGATAAGTTGAGCAAATAAGTATTTTGAATGCCACTAATTAGGGTAGGCACTGAGGATATTTTGTGACACAAGATCTTTTATGGCATTCACAATTGGGAATGCAATACATGTCAGTTAAATAATAGTAGTAGCTTTGGCTCCTGTGGCTCAGTTGGTTGAGCGTTGTCTCATGTACCAAAAAGGTTGCTGGTTTGATTCCTGGTCAGGGCACATGCCCAGATTGCGGGTTCCATCCCTGGTCCGGGTGAGTACTTGAGGCAACCAATCGATGTTTCTCTCTCCCTCTCCCTTCTCTCTCTAAAATAGATTTAAAAAAATAATGGTGGTATAAGATAGTATAAGAGAAGAAATTACTCTTGAATCATGGGCAGGAACAATCTCTGGCAACTTTATGGAGAAGGTTAGAGTTGAGTTTAATTAAGAGGTTACAGTCTAGCCGTGGGCAAACTACGGCCCGTTTGAAATGAATAAAACTAAAAAAAAAAAAAAAGACCGTACCCTTTTATGTAATGATGTTTACTTTGATTTATATTAGTTCACACAAACACTCCATCCATGCTTTTGTTCCGGCCCTCCGGTCCAGTTTAAGAACCCATTGTGGCCCTAAGTCAAAAAGTTTGCCCACCCCTGGATTACACTATTAATATCAGCTGCTTTCTGTACAGGTCCTGTGAAGGTAGATTTAGACTTGAAGATGAGGGTCGTAGGAGAGAAGTGAAGGGAAGAACGAGATCCAGAGTAGGGGAGGGGCACCATAAGCTTCTTAGCCCTATTACAGTATATCAACCACTCTTCTAATTAAACCTTTGTAGGGAAATAGTCTGAACTTTTAAGAGCTTTTGCCTATCTAGTTTCTAAACCTTGGATTCAGTCGGAATCTTTTTTTTTATTTTTTTTATTAGTGTTCCTGGAGAACAATGGAAAGGACAATTTACCACAATCCAGAAAAAGTAAGGCCAATATTTTATTTTTAACTTGTTTGATTCAGGTTTAATAGGTTGTTTTGCTACTGTTTAAAACCTTTTAATTCGTGAATGTCTTAGAGATAAAATAATTAAGAGTTAGAGTACCCAAGGCAAAAGCCATGTTTTGCATACGCGGTGCTCAAAGTGTTTTTCCTGTCGATACTGTGAGCCTGTGTGAAAAGTCAGATATTTTCTCCTAGTTGTGTTTTAGGAATAACTTTTAAAACTTTATCTGGTTGCCCAGCAGTCTACTCTCTTGTGTTTTCTGGCACACTAATGTGTGATATTACCAGGTGTACAAAAAAATCACAATGCATGTGATGATCATTAAGCTTATATTCTTTTTTTAAAAGTTATCCTTCAATTTCCTCATGTCTTAGGATTATTCATTCTTTAAAAAGTACTTTTCCAGGACACTACTTAACACAAACAATTGTAATTACAGTGGTCAGTGTTTGGGCTGTGGGAAAACCATAGAGTCTATTCACTTGAGTCCAGAAGAGTATGAATTCCTCAAGAGAAAAATCCTGAGTGATGTGATAGATGGAGGTGACCAATACAAAAAGACGACACCTCAGGTGAGTCTGGACCAGGTTTTATTGCATTCTTGGTGTCTAGAGCAGGGGATGGCATTTTTTTCTCTAAAAGGACAGATAGTAAATACTTTCAGTTGTGTGGATCATACAGTCCCTTTTGCAACTTTTCTACTCTGCTGTTGTAGTGAAAATAGCCATAGACAATACATAAATGAATGAGCATGGCTGTGTTTCAGTAATAATTGTATTTATGAAAATGAGCAGTAGACTGGATTTTTTTTTTTTTTAAATGCAAAGAGAAGCAGTGGACTGGATTTGGCTTGCTGGCCATAGTTGTCAGCCTTTAAGAGAGATTGCTTTAGAATTTCATGGAACAATTGGGTCAGACTATTATCCACCTATTGAAGTCAGTCCTATTTCATCTGGGCACAAGGTGCATTTAAGCCAAAAAGACGATGCTTATTCTTTATCTGTTTCCAGAAAACTGTGTTCAGTAAACTCCCATGAAAGTATTATGGTTTCTCACAACTTTTTTAGTCAAGAGAGTTTAAGATAACAAAATTATCTCTCAAGTTTTCTTCGTATTGAATTTGATTCTCTGAATTATTTTCAATAGCTTTATTTTGCTAGTCTTCAGTACTTTATTCTGGTTTACCAAGATTAAGTGGATGTAAAATGCTTTTATTTTGGGGAAAAGCTGCCCATCATCTCATTGAATGCTTTTTCTTCAAGGTACTAAATAAAAACAAGAAGTGAAAATTATTCTACCTTCCTACCTTGACTTAAAATGTCAGATCATATATTTTTATTGATTTCTAAAAGGAGGGAAGAGGGAGAGAGAGATAGAAACATCAGTGATGAATCATTGATCAGCTGCCTCCTGCACTCCCGGGGATCGAGCCTGCAACCCAGGCATGTGCCCTGACTGGGAATCAAACCATGACCTCCTGGTTCATAGGTTGATGCTCAACCACTGAGCCACACCAGCCGGACATAACATGTCAGATAATGCCCCTAGATCCGTGGTTGGCAAACTGCGGCTCGCGAGCCACATGCGGCTCTTTGGCCCCTTGAGTTGTGGCTCTTCCACAAAATACCACGTGTGGGTGCGTACAGTGCGATTGAAACTTCATGGCCCATGCGCAGAAGTCGGTTTTCAGCCTGGGCGAGGCTATTTTGAAGAAGTACTGTTGATATTTGGCTCTGTTGACTAATGAGTTGCCGACCACTGCCCTAGGTTATATGAAAATCTTTAATCCTCAGAATAAAGTCAGTATCTGGTCCATAAAAACATTATCTCCATTTTATGGAATATTTTTCAGCTGACTTTATTGATAAAATCATAGTTAACATTTATCAAGTGATGCTAAGTACTTTACATTGATTATTTTATTTTTTTTATAAAATATATTTTATTGATTTTTTACAGCGAGGAAGGGAGTGGGATAGAGAGTTAGAAACATGGATCAGCTGCCTCCTACTGGGGATGTGCCCGCAACCAAAGTACATGCCCTTGACCAGAATCGAACCTGGGACCCATCAGTCCGCAGGTCGATGCTCTATCCACTGAGCCAAACCGGTTAGGGCTACATTGATTATTTTATATCTTAACCCTTACAACCACTCTATATGGAACTATTTTATTTCTGTTTTACAGATAAAGTGATTGAGAGTTTGGGAGATTAAATCTGCCAGAGGATACCTTGCTAATAAAATCTAGGTTTGACCCTAAAAACCGTTGTTACAATACTGCCTCTCATGGAATGAAAAGTTACAGTGACAACTGTAACTGACAGCCAACTGGTTGTAGCAGCTCTTTAATGTCTTAGGAATTCCTACCACTAAAATATGAATTAAACAGATTTTCTTTCTCTTATCCAATATTTTTTGAGCACTTATGTATATCTTGTGAAGTAGGTGTTTAGATTCAAGGTTGTATGAATTATGCTGTTTGCTACCAAAAACTTACCATTTCTGTTGTGGACTAATTGAATATTCTTCCCACCCTCCAAATTTTTATTTAGTAAAATTTTCAACCTAAAGGAAAATGAAAAAATAGCACACTGAACATCTACCTACTCTTCATCTAGTAACCAGTTGTTTTTATGGCTTATACACTTTCTCTCTATATATGTGTTTTTATGAACCATTTAAAAATAAGGTATGTTACTTTAAATGTTTCAGCAAATATTTTCTAAGAATAAGAAAATTCTATGTAATTAAATAGCATCACATTTAAGGACCTTACAATTAATTCAGTGTCATTTAATAAAAAAGTATATATTCAGATTTTCCCCATTGTCACCCCAAATTGTACTTTATAACTTTTCCATCTCTGATCCAGGACTCAGTCAAGGTTCACTCATTGCTTTTGATTGTTATGTCTCTCTAAATCCATAATTGTCTTCTCTGCCTTTGTTTGTTTTTATAACATTGACTTTTCTGAAAAGTCTGGGAGGTTTATCTTGTACAGGGCTTTTCAAACTTTGCACCTACGAATCACTTGAAGACCTGGTTAAAATGCAACTTATGATTCAGCTGTCTGAAGTGGGGCCTGAGATTGTGTATTTTGATAAGATCCCAGGTGATGTGTTTATGGTCTTTGGACCACATATTGAGAAGCAAGACTGTGTATAATTGTTTATTATTTTCTTTTCATTAATTCAGTATGAATGCACTAGATTACATGGATGATGTTCTGTTCTTCTTACTGACTCACAGCAGCCAAAAAATATCAAGTTGTGCTCACTTTTGCTAATGTTAAATTTGATCACTATACAAGATGTCTGCATTGTAAAGGTACCTTTCTCCCTTTATAATTTCCCTTTGTAATTAAAAATTAAGTGATCTGTGAAATAATACTTTAAGACTAGCCCAGCCAGTGTGGCTCAGTGGTTGAGTCTCGACCCAGGAACTGGGAGGTTGCTGGCTCAATTCCCAGTCAGGGCACATTCCTGGATTGCAGGCTCAGTCCTCACTAGGGGGTATGCAGGAGGCAGCCGATTGATGAAGTTTCTCTCTCATCAATGTTTCTATCTCTTTATTCCTCTCTCTCTAAAATCAATAAAAAAATATATATATTTTAAAAAGACTATGCAGATAGCTTGTCACCCATTAACTCTTCACTCAATGTTTTTAGAATCATGGAGATGCTCTCTACCTTTGGAGGTAGTAAAGTGGTGACTATTTTATTTCCTTTGCATTTATTAGCTGACATCATTCTATAAAAAGTTTTCCTTTCCCGACTTTCTCCCCCACACCAATTTAAAAAAAAAATTAATCTGTATGGACATGAGGATTTTTAAAAAGTATATATTTTTATTGATTTCAGAGAGGAAGAAAGAGGGAGATAGAAACATCAATGGCCGAAACCAGTTTGGCTCGGTGGATAGAGCGTCGGCCTGCGGACTGAAGGGTCCCAGGTTCGATTCCGGTCAAGGGCATGTACCTGGGTTGCAGGCTCATCCCCAGTAGGAGATGTGCAGGAGGCAGCTGATTGATGTTTCTCTCTCATCGATGTTTCTAACTCTCTATCTCTCTCCCTTCCTCTCTGTAAAAAATCAATAAAATATATTAAAAAAAAAAAAAAAAAGAAACATCAATGATGAGAATCATTGATTGGCTGCCTCCTGCATGCCTCACACTGGGGATCGAGACCCCAACCTGGGCATGTACCCTAACTGGGAATCCAATTGTGACCTCCTGGTTCATAGGTCAACTCTCAACCACTGAGCCATGCCGGCTGGGCAGGATTCTATTTTTTTTTTTTTTTTTAATTAACGGTGTTAGAATTCATTACCTTCATTATTCTTTTTGATGCTCAAATTGTCCAAATTTGACCTGTGGGAGTTCCTTCAAGCAACTGTGACTTTTACATCTCTCTCCCCCCTCATCATTTTTTCCTCCCAATCAGTTTTTGAGCACTTCTGTGCTTTCTGGCACATGTCCTAGGCCAGCTGTGGGCAAACTACGGCCCGCGGGCCGGATCCGGCCCATTTGAAATGAATAAAACTAAAAAAAAAAAGACCGTACCCTTTTATGTAATGATGTTTACTTTGAATTTATATTAGTTCACACAAACACTCCATCCATGCTTTTGTTCCGGCCCTCCGGTCCAGTTTAAGAACCCATTGTGGCCCTTGAGTCAAAAAGTTTGCCCACCCCTGTCCTAGGCTCTTACCTTGAAGTGCTTTTGCCCCAGTTGTGGAATCACTAATTGAATACTTTTCTTTACATTCTCTTTTGTGTTTTATTTTTTATTGAATTTATTGGGGTGACATTCTATCTAATAAAATAGTAATATGCAAATTAACCATCACTCTGTCACTCCATCACAAATATGGCGGCGCCCATAGCCACAAGATGGTGGTGCCCAGTCCCCTCAGCCCTGCCGCTGAAGTGTCCAGGCCTGTTGGCCAGGCAGGTGGTGGGGGAGGCAGGGTGGAGGCCACCCCATCGCTGCTGGAGTGTCACCCGGCCGGGGGGCGGCAGGGGTGAGCAGCGAGGCATGATCCGCCCACTCCAGCAGCTGATCCAGCCTCGCTGCTCCGCCGCCAATGGAATGTCTGGAGGCAGCGGAGGCGGGAGGGAGCAAGGCAGCGGAGGCGGGAGGGAGCAAGGCAGCGGAGAAGGGCGGGCTTTGCTCCTTTCTCTGCTTCGCTCCAGCTGCGGGAAGCCCTATTCTTGCAGGAATCTTCCTGCAACGGGCTCTAGTTGGTTAATAAAGTTATATAGGCTTCGGGTGTACAATTCTATAATACATCATCCAATATATTGTGTTGTGTATTCACCATCCCAAGTCAGGTCCCCTTCCATCATCATTTATTCCCCTTTACCTCTTCTACCTTTCCTCATCCCCCTTTCCCTCTGGTAATCACCATATGTTTAACACTCTCAGTGGCTAAGCATTGCCATAATTTTTTAAAAAATGAGTATCACTTTAATTCTGGATTAATAGAAGGAAAAGTTGTTACTTTTTTCTGCTGACAAAGACCTAGTAACTAGAGCAAATCTTCTCTTTGAAGAGTGTTATCCTGTAAGAG